TTTGCCCATTTTTGGGTGCCAAAAAAAAAAAAAAGATAGGAAAAATATATCTTAGTAGGCTACACACACATCAGAAAAGATGTGAATTGGAAATAGTCCAGAAGAGAGCAACAAAATAATATGTTTAGAAAACCTGACCAATGAGGAAAAGTTAAAAAACTGGGCATGCTTAGTCTTGAGAAAAGAAGACTGAATGGGAGCATGGTAAAGTTTACAAACATGTTAAGGACTATTGGAAAGAGGATGGTGATCAATTTTTCTTCTTAATTATTGAAGATAGAACAAGAAATAATTGATTTAATCATTAATTTATAGTTTAGGAGATTGCCTATCTCCTAGAACTGAAAGGGACCTTGAAAGGTCATTGAGTCCAGTCCCTTGCCTTCACAGTAGGACCAAGAACCATCCCTGACAAATTTTTACCCCAAATCCATACATGGCCTTTGCAAGGATTGAACTCATAACTCTGGGTTTATGAGGCCAATGCACAAACCACTTAGCTACCCCTCACCCAAGCTGTAGTAAGGGAGATGTAGATTAGATATTAGGAAATGCTTTCTAACTAGATGGCTAGCTAAAACCTTGAATAGGCTTCTATAGAAGGTTGTGGAATCCATCATTGGAAACTTTTGAAAACCAGTTACTCAAATACCTGTCAAGAGTGGTGTTAGGAGTACTTGGTCCAGGCTGAGCTGGATTAGATGACCTCTCCAGATTCTTTCCAGCTTTACATTTCTATGATTCTACAATAATTAAATTTGATATGGGGAAATAAACCTCTCAGCAGCAATTGCAAACTTCTCCGTAGTTACTGTTATAGATATTGTGATGCTTTCTAAAGAGAACAAATAAAAAACGACAAGCTCTAGAGAACACAGCTCCCCCAAAAGTCATGACTCATATAGGAACATCTTGAAAAAACTCCCAGTAGAAAGTTTCACAACTTTGGCTTTTTCTGAGTTTGATTTTGCTGGAAACTTCCCTCTCCAAAGAAACCTACCATTTCCTGTAGGGGAGATAAGACTATCTAAATAGGAACAGGAAATAAATGATGGGCTGACAATAAGACTGATTACCCTTGGAGCACAATCTCCATGGAAACAGACTGTCCTAAAATAGCTCAATCACATGAGGATGACATGACATGAATAAAGTCACCAGAACTGGAAAATATCTCAGAATTGGAAATAGTTGCATTTAATTATCCTCAGGTCTTTGGAGAGCAACTAATCAACAAAGCTAGAATTGAAAGCAAGTTAGTATATGTATACATTGTAATTTGGCTACTTTGGGATAATGCAAATTTAAAGTGACCTTAATTTAAAAGGTAAGGTATCATATTCTTTCCAAGCCCAGCATACATCAATGTAGAGTAAAATCTGCATAATGATCCACATGACCTGTTGCTTGGGTTTCCAATATTGTACTGACTCCTTTAAAAGAGCACTTGTTCAATTTGTTGTAAATGGAGTTGAGAGCGCTCAGTATTTCTTAGAATTGGGCCCTTTAAGCATTGTGTGTCTCAAAACATATTAACCAAGTGACTATGACTTTTGGCAGAGTTAATTACAATAGTATGTTTTGTGTGTCTCACTTTGTTCATTCATTAATCCATTTGAACCTTAAATTATGCCCTGGATTGTATTAATACTTCCACAACTATAGATACGAAGCTTCTGATTTGCTATTTATCTGTTTTCAAATCCTGATGGTAACCCTGTCTGGTGACTTCAGACTTGTAATTAAGTTTTGTTTTAAACAGAGTGCAGCGAAGCCTGAAATGTGTTTCTTCCTCAGTCTTATACCACTGAGGACATGACCATTAAATATATGTATATTCTAGATTGATTCAAGACTACTCAGCAACCTAGAGTAGTCAGTGTGCTATCATAATTATGCAGGGACTGATCCTACATCTCTCAATCTGGCCTGAATTTGTTAGTGCTGACTATTCACCTTCCATCCTGGCTTAGTTCTAGGAGTATGGTTTGAGACTGACCTGAATTATCAAGGTCAACAGGGTTCACTGGCACACTAATGGATTATAGGCATGACATATCCCACAGTCTCAGTAAAGATTTCCTCCCTGCCTTCCTGTATTTCATTCTCTGCAGAATGAGTTTAGTAGTGTCCTTTGCCTGGTGTCTCTGGATTAGTTACAAAAGCCCAACCAGATGTCTGATTTAGCAAACTTACTCCTATGAGTAGTGCTTACTTGGGTGAATAGTTCCACTGAAGTTAATGAGATTTCATTGTAAAGACCTTCTTTGGCAAAGCATGTCCACATTTGCTGCTCTAGCATCGACAGTGAGAGCAGTACATTGTGGGAAGCAACTTGCCGTCTTCTGCTGGTAGGAGTTGCGGGAAGACAGAGTGGATTGCATTATATCATGAGTGCAAGCTCAATATCCCATCATGCAGTCCTTTCTGTCCCAGAATTCCCTGGGCTTCTGACTGAATTTCATAGCATTTTTCAATGGCTTCCATTTACTGTGTGCCTGACATCTCTGTCTGAAAGGATGGATCCCTCACTGTTCTCTAATGTTGTGGTCACTGTTATGAACACGTCGCAGATGGTCATACAATGCATCATGAGCTTCCAGTCTGAACTGGAATCAGAATTGCCTGACCTGCTGCATGCCATGGAAATAAACAACACCAGATTGCTTTCAGCATTCACAGAGCAGCTAAAGAGTGTATTCAGAATACGTCCCCACAGTTTGGTTGAAAATCATTAGCCCTGGTGGTGTTTCAGTACATCATTACTCAAGTTAAGCCCATTTGGGTGATAATAGAAATTTAGGAGCACGAGGACAATTATGTAATTCCAGCTAGCATGTACACTTTGTTTTGTTTGTCCAAATCATATTGCTATACTTAATTGTAACCACATTACTGTTTCAAATACATTAAATACATCTTATTTGTAGTACAGATGCCCTGGTGGTGTTTCAGTACATCATTACTCAAGTTAAGCCCATTTGGGTGATAATAGAAATTTAGGAGCACGAGGACAATTATGTAATTCCAGCTAGCATGTACACTTTGTTTTGTTTGTCCAAATCATATTGCTATACTTAATTGTAACCACATTACTGTTTCAAATACATTAAATACATCTTATTTGTAGTACAGATGAATAGAAAAGGCATTGTACTGCTGTATTAGTATATTTACTTTCCTAGTACCTTAAACAGAAAATACGGTTTTCCAAATCTTTGACCCCAGCAGAGTTCTAAAATGGACATGGTTAATTACTCAGGTAGTGAAATAAACAATATTAGTCTTGAAAACTGCTTAATATGTCCATATTTACAGCTTTGATCATTACAGAAGTATAGTATAAACTAAGAAATCATGGTAGTTCTTATCTTTACTAATCACATGCTGTAGCAGTGTGATAATGCAGAAGTAGAGTTAAAAAGCTTTGATCATTATGTTAAATTTATAGTTACATTAGTCCTTTTCCAAGCCATGTCATCTTATTTTCAGGTCTTGAACTAGCTGTATTGCTGATCTGTAAAGTATCTGTACAGATTTGTAAGAAGGTATGACAATGAACACTGCTCTCTAAGGCTACGTCTATACTGCAGGCTTCTTGTGCAAGAACTTTTGTGCAAGAGTTCTTGCGCAAAAGTTCTTGCGCAAGAGCTCATCCACACTGCCATGTGCTTTTGTGCAAGAGCGACCATGGCAGTGTGGACACCCTCTTGAGCAAGAAAGCTCTGATGGCCATTTTAGCCCTGTTCTCGTCCACACTAGCCTTTTTGCGCAAGAGCTCTTGCGCAAAAAGGCTAGTGTGGACGAGAACAGGGCTAAAATGGCCATCAGAGCTTTCTTGCTCAAAAGAGTGTCCACACTGCCATGGTCGCTCTTGCACAAAAGCACATGGCAGTGTGGATGGGCTCTTGCGCAAGAACTTTTTCGCAAGAACTCTTGCACAAAAGGTCTTGCACAAGAAGCCTGCAGTCACAGCCTTCAAGTTCAGGGAGAATTTAGATAGGCAGCATGTAACTAAGCAAATTAGTCAGAAACTTTTAGTTCTGGTTATGCATTTGTGTATAATATGACTGAATATGTTGTCTTCTTAGAAAATTTAAAGTTGTTTACTTTGAAGATGCAGAGACCAGGATGTTCCATTTTTGTTGTTTTTGTGGTTCAGTGGCTTTATATTTGCCAAGGACAATAAGTCATTCTTCCGTGTTCAGTTGATTAATAATGCTGCATGTGTGCAATGTACTTCTGCTTTTGTGTTAAGCATTCCATGGAATAAATGCAGAAGATCTCAGGGTGTGAAGGTAAGGGAAAGAATATTGTGTGAGAAGATGCAAACTGAAGGAGAATGAAATTTTAACCCGACACGGACAAACCTGGAAAAAAAAAGCATTTTGTTTTAAATCCAAACTTTATGTGTCTTGTATAAACAGTGATAATAAAGTAAAAGAATGGATCTGATTTCCTTTAGATCCCCTCTGAAATGGGAAGGTGCAAGGTTCATCAGTGGCCTGCTTCAGATATCTCTTGTATTGATATTGAAATCAAGCCCTGTGTTTATTTAACAGGAAGTGTAATTTATACACTTTTCATTCTCATCTTCTCTATTACATTTGATTACTAAATAAATGCAGGTACTTTATCATTCATTGCTTCATAAATAATTAATTTAAGCAAAAATAAAGGTTGTATTTGAGGCTGTACCCTATTGCCTCATTTGGAAATGTTGCCTTCACATTGTGTAAAAACAAAAGGGAATCCTTTCAAATTTTGAATCCAACAGGACCGTAGCTTTTATGAGTTAGGGAAGCAGTTGAAGCTGCAAATAAGAGTAAACATGTTCCTTGACATGAACAATTTAAACAAACTACTCCCCATGCTGTGCAAGCTGTGCTTCCAGTTAAAATGAGATCTAGAAAGGTACTGTGTAGTTGATGGCGTTTTCTAAGGGAACTGGGTAGTTAATGGTGTTTTCTAAGGGAAAGCTTAAGCATAATCAGCTGAACTAAACAGTTGTGGTGTCTATTTATCTTATTGTCTCAGACAGAAAAAATGAAAACCCACTCAGCCATTGTTTTCCTCCTCCTCTTCGTCATCAGTTATGGCTCTTCTGAAAACTCGAGTACGTCCAGAGGGTGTGGATTGGATCTTCTCCCCCAGTATATTTATCTGTGTGACCTGGATGCCATTTGGGGAATAGTAGTGGAGGCAGTTGCTGGAGCAGGAGTGCTGACGACATTGCTGTTGATGCTGATTTTGCTAGTGAGGTTGCCATTCATCAAGGACAAAGAGAAGAAGAGCCCACTGGGAATGCATTTCCTCTTTCTCTTTGGAACTCTAGGACTGTTTGGGCTGACTTTTGCATTCATCATCCAGGAAGATGAAACAGTATGTTCCACTCGAAGATTTCTGTGGGGAGTTATCTTTGCATTGTGCTTCTCCTGTTTGCTAGCTCAAGCTTGGAGACTACGTAGACTGGTTCGACATGGTAAAAGTCCTTCTGGCTGGCACCTAGCTGGCATGGCAATCTGTCTTATGCTGGTCCAGGTCATTATTGCAACAGAGTGGTTAATTCTGACAGTTGTGAGAGATAAGAAGTTGGCCTGCAATTATGAGCCAGTTGATTTTGTTATGGCCTTGATTTATGTTATGTTCTTAATGGTAGTTACCATGGGAGTCTCTCTGTTCACTTTATGTGGAAAGTTTAAAAAGTGGAAGAAAAATGGAGGTTGCCTCATTATAACCATTTTTTTCTCGATTCTGATTTGGGTTGCTTGGATGACCATGTATCTGTTTGGCAATACTGAATTGAGGCAAAAAGACAAATGGAATGACCCCACTCTTGCCATTGCACTGGTGTCCAATGGTTGGGTGTTTATTATTTTTCATGCTATCCCAGAAGTTCATTGCACCATTCTTCCATCCCAGCAAGAAAACACACCCAATTATTTTGATACTTCACAACCAAGAATGCGTGAAACTGCTTTTGAGGAAGATATCCAACTTCCTCGGAGCTACATGGAAAACAAAGCCTTTTCAATGGATGAACATAATGCAGGTAAGATTTTACCATATAAAAGGACCTATACTGGCCTGTTTTATAGTATGGAAAAAATAGTATAAATTTGTTCTAGTGAAGGAGTGGGCAATAATTTTTGAAGGGGGGCCACTTCAAAAATTTCTGAAGTGGTCATGAGCTGCCCTGGAAGAGGCAGGGCCTTGGGCAGAAGAGGCAGAGCCTTTAAATAGCAAGAATTGAGAGGGCTCATACCCCCCTGGTGGCTCCCAGGCAACACATTAGGGGGCAGGGTCAGAAGCTGCCATGGGTCCGATGGAAGTTCTAGGTAGGCCTCTTGCCCAGCTCTGTTCAAAGTATTTGGTTTGTGAGAAAGCTTGTTCAAAAGGCCAGATTCTCCCCACACAGAGGGGTTTATTTTGTTGTTGTTGTTGTTGTTCTTTTCAAAGTTTCCCATGAAACTTTTTTACTGAAAAGCCCAAAGTAAATATTTTGATGTGTTTAAAAAATGGCAAATTGAAAAATTCTAGAAGTGTGATCTGATTTAAAACGAAACTCTGGGTTTTGGTTGAAATGTTCTTTTAGCTTTCAAATTTTCATCCAAAAATTTCAAACAATTCAAATGAAAGTCAGATATTCAGTTTTCATTTTGAAAGAAAAAGGCTACTTTCTGTTTTATATATAAAAAAAAAAAGTCAGTAGAAAAATTTTAATTAGCTCTAATCATAATGATTAAGCTACAAGTAAAATATTTCCTTAATAATATGATCTAAAACTCACAAGAGGAAACTGAATTTATTCATGCTGTTTGCTCACTCGGCCTCATTTTTTTCTCCTCATTTATACCAGTATAAATAAGTAGTAACTCTATCAGATCAAAAAAGCTTTTTTTTCTCATGTCCAAAAACATTTGATTCACAAAGGTTGAGTGCACGGAGTGCTAAGCATTTTTGGGCCACAAAATAATCGATGATACATTTAAATATATACTTTCTTTCATAAAGATGGGTCCAAAAGGTCTTTTTTGATACTGTATAACGGGTAGGATTGCCAGATGGTTTAACCAAAAATATCAAACACCAGGGAAAAAATTTTTTTGGGGGGGGGGGGGGGGGAGGAGGAGACCAAAGTTGTTGAAAAACCCCGAGAGTTAAGCAAAAAAATAAAAATAAAAAAAACCCCAGCATTAAAACAGCTTTAAGAGTATGCAGTGTCAGAATAGAGATAGCAAGAGTGGAGTGGTTGAGCACTAAGACACAGGGAAGGCATTGCTTCCCCTTGCTTCAGTTCTTTAGGCTTTTTGCCAGTGGCCATTTTGTTTTCTTGATGGAGCCAGAATGCAGCTTCCCTGCGGAACCAGGTAAGCAGGGAGTCCTAGGGCCAGGGGCTGGGCCCAGTTGCCAAGTGTGTTGTAGTGTTGTCAGGTGTCCAGTATTTTCGCCTCCTGGCTCAGAAAATACCAGTCATTTCAGGTGTCTGGTATTTTCTGCATTTTTTTACCAGACAGGAGGCGAAAATACCGGACTGTCCAGGTCAATACCAGACACCTCGCAACCCTAATAACGGGTGGGGAACCTCAGGCCCAGGGGCCAGATGGGGCCCCTGGCTTGCCTTGATCTGTCCTCCAAGGCTCAGAGTCCCCACCCCCCAACCCTCCCGCCGCCCCACCGTGTACTAGGCTGGGCCTGCCCTAGGCTCTGCTGTGCAAGGGGAATGTGGGGAATGTCTTTCTCCTTGATTGGGACCATGTCAGTGGGGTGAGGTTTTTGTTTTTGTTTGCTTCTCACTTGTGTGTGGCCCCCGACTATTTTTTTGTGGGTCAGTGGCCCTTAGCCCAAAAAAAGTTCCTTGCGCCTGCGATATTAATAGTGTGCCTGGAGCTTAACAGACAAGTATAAAGACAAAGATCTGCCCTTCAGTGTTTACATTCTGGATAGAAAATATGTAGACAAGGATGAAAAGTATTGATTGAATGCTCCTCAACCTAGTGTATACAATATATATGAAGGAGTTGCTTTGTTTGTCACAGTAGTGGAACTTTTTAGGTGACAGGAAATGAAGAATAATAGATCCAATTGAAATCACAGTGAAATTGGCCTTAAATGGCTATTCAAGGGGCCAGCAAAAAATTGGTTGCCTAGCAGAGACAATCAAAATCTGAGCATTCTGGTCATGGAAAGGACAAAGGGATACTTAAGTGGCTACTTATGGCACAAAGCTGAATGATGAAGGTCTTTAGTGCAGTTTTCATTATAACTGGGTAAGAAGTGGGCTGTATATTTTTAAGGAACTAGCAACAGAAAGCATCATCACTGTTGTTAAGTTTTTGTTGTTGAAGCTACTAGACATTTTGGACCTAATATTTTCCCTCACTCATGTAGCCTAATGTAAAATGGGCTAGCAATAGTTCCTCCAGTGAAGCTGTTAGAGACTAACACAGATACAAGAGAACACAGAATTGAGCTATTTAAATAGAGAGATAATATTACTATATTTTTGTCTTTAACATTTATGTGGTGAGGATTTGAAAACTTTTGTTAAAATCTTCCAATTACACTTTTAAAATGGACCCTTTACCTCTCTCTAGCGATTCTAATGTAGCTCAGCTAGGCTATTTTAAAACAGTTTATTATTCTTATCCATGTTTGGTAATTTTTAATGGAGACTGTTGTAATCTCCTGTGGATAGTGTGTTTCCTTAGTAAAATAATTAGATATATGTAATTTCCCCTATCCCCTGCTTCATTAAATTGTATTACTAATTTGCATTATTTATTTTTACCTTAGTTTTGAAGGTGTTTTAAAATTTTACATTGAATAAGCAATATAATCTTGCTAGGAACATCTAGCTACCTCCTTATCTGATATTCCTGGTATTAGGTGTTATGATGAAAAACAAATATTTGTTTGTGTCATGTGGCCCTAAAGCCACATCTTCACTAGAATCATTGCAGCTGTATTGCTTCAGTGTAGCCAGTCACTACAATTATAGGAGTGACAGCTGGATCACTCTAACTTTTAATGTAAACTTGGCCTAAGTGTCAGAAGAACATAAGAGTCATCTTAGCTATAGTGTGCATACATGTGTGTTGTGTGAATGTTGGTAGAATTTACACAAAGCAGACAATGTTAATGAATTCCCCCACTCTTCCAGCCAGTGAAATGCATTGGAACTGAGCTACTGCATGTAGGATTCAGTTCTTACCCAAGTTTCCCAGACAATTTTAGATTTTTAAAGCTTCTCCTCTGTTGTGCTAAAGGCATACAGACCCAATGATTAGACAAATGCACAAAGCAAACTGTAAAAAAAAGAAAACCCTGACCTAAACAAAAGCTGATACCATCTACATTTTGAGTTAGTCTCTAAGGTGCTGAAAGACTATTAGTTATTTTTTAAGTTTTTTCTAAATTCCCATGTTATAGTATAGTAATTTAGGTGTTAGTTGCAGTAATTGGTTTTTGAAAAAAATGACATTTTCCTGTTAAGATTTATTTGCAAATAGATATGTAAAATGGATACATAATATCTTAATTTCAAATAGTATATTCTATTAATCTAAAACTGTAACAGTGTAACAATTTATGCTAAAAATTGAGAGAGGGCTAATTGATATATTAAAAGAAATACTGGACAATGGACATGTTTAAAGAAGTGTCTTAAATACTGATCTGTGACTAGCATAATAATAACTAGTATTTAAATAGCTTTTCATCCATCCTTTTTAAAGTGCTTTCCGAAGAAGTTTTTAGTATTATTAAAAACTAAATTTAATCTCTATGTTTGTAGGGTCAGGGTGTAAAAATTGTGTAATAGATTATTGTAGGATAAAAGATCAATATTGATCTTTATCTCTGTGCACCGTTCCTATTGATGTGAGTAGCAGTAGACTGAGGGCAGTATTTAGTAACAGTCTATGAATTACGCTCAATTTAAATCTTGCTGTACATTTTAGGTGAAATTCTAGCTACAGCGAAGTCAGTAGCAAAACAATGGCAAAGCATGGATTGACTTCACTGGGGGCAGGATCTTACCCATTGACTGTGGAACTGTATCTTGAATTAAATGTAAAAGAAAAATTCTAATTAATGAGTGGATGAAACCAACTTGTTTCTGACTACAACCTCTTAGTTATCAGCAATACTGAGGTTTGGAAACAACTGTAATGACTCAGCTTGCATATACAAATGAAGGCATATTGTCTGGCTGCCACTGAGCTCAGTGAAGCTTATTGTTCACCTCTGAACTAATCAGATAGTTACGCAAATCTCTGCCCTACTGGTCAGAGGTAAATATCCATACCTCTTCTCTTCATAACTCATTTAATATGTAAATATTAAAAGAAAAAATGATACAGTTAAATTCATGACTGTAATACTGGAGAGACTACCAGATATTTTTTAGATAAATGGTATTCTATCTTCTGATCAAGAAATCTTCATGATCAACCTATTTAAAAGCAATGGTTGTGTAGTATTTTTAGTTTTTCAAAGTAACTGTAGGAGATATTTAGAAAACTATGCATTAGGCACCCTCTGAAATAATGCTCAAAGGGTTTTGTTTACTAGCACAAACAATATTTTGAACTTTTTTTTCTGAATATGAGAGAATGCAGAAATGTTTTACTTTACCCCTTTGCACACGCAGACTAATGAGATTACCTGGTGAGAAACAATAATGAAAAACACATCAGCAGTTATAACTGGGGAGCTAAATTCTTTCTTTTTATACAGTACCAAGTAATTTATTTAGTTTTAAAAGTGAACTCTAAGGTCCAACCCAAAATATATAAATATAACATAGAGGGGGAGAATAAAAATAAGAGATGAAATAAATCATGGCTTTAAATCAATGGCAAAACTACCTTTGACTTCAGTGAGATCAGGATTTCACTGTTGATCACTCTTGTAATTTTTAAAAGCATGTGTTATTTTTGCACATGAAAAGAAGGATTTGATTTGTTTGCATGAGAATAAAACTGTCTTTTATTCTGAACACAGCTTTAAGAACTGCAGGATTTCGCAATGGCAGCTTGGGAAGCCGACCTAGTGCTCCCTTTAGAAGCAATGTTTATCAGCCAACTGAGATGGCAGTTGTGCTAAATGGTGGGACTGTAAGTATAAAACTGTGATGATGTTAAGGAGTCTTGTGTGTATACTGGCAAAAGTGCGACTGCTACTTATTGAATGAACTTCTGAGTTAAGACTGCTTGCTAATATGAAAGAAAACACTATAAATGAAATCTCTAGCAGCAAGTATGCATGTAATGCTTCCATTCCCCCTTGAAATTATTCAAATAAAATTTGTGTAGACTTCTTTCCTTGACTATTCAGTTTAGATTGAAAGAACCAAGTTTTCTGTCAGTGGCTCCTTTGGATGATTATAACTAAGGCTGTATCTAAACTATACCCCTCTGTCGGCGGAGGGATGTAAATTAGACGTTTTGAAAGCGCAAATGAAGCAGGGATTTAAATATCCTGCGCTTCATTTGCATAACCGTGTCCTGGCGCTGTTTCAAACAAGTGCCATTTCGAAACTGAAAGTGCAGGTTAAACGCGTTTTTTCTGACAACGGGGCAATTTTTCAAAAGATCCTGTACTCCTCAAAAAATGATCTTTCGAAAAATTACCCTTTTGTTGGAAAAAACGTGTCTAAACTGCGCTTTCAGTTTCGAAATGGCATTTGTTTGAAACAGCACCAGGACGTGATTATGCAAATGAAGCATGGGATATTTAAATCCCCACTTCATTTGCACTCTCAAACATCTAATTTACATCCCTCTGCCGACAGTGGGGTGTAGTTTAGATGTAACTTAAGTGACAGTTAATAACAGCCTGATTTCTGCAGCATTCTGCAAGTTTACACTTTTGGATACACCCCAGTATATTTTTTGGCATAAGAATCTGTTGCAGATAGTGCTGGTGCTACATTTTCACTTTCCTTGTAAAATTTGTATTTTCACTACAAGGTGAACACCAATGAGGTGTGCCACCCTTGAAAAGAAATACATAAGGGGACATGTAAAATACCTTTAGGCTAACGTGAATTACTTTTCCTCTCAAACAATGGTTTGGCATGCTAATTTTTGATAACACTGTTAATCAAGGACATTGCAAGAATGGCTTAGAGATCTGATGCCAAACAGCCTCTTTAAATCTCATTCCCATTTTGTGTATAAATTGCTAAAAAAAGGAGAATTTCATTCCCACATTTCCATGCATACCTACATGCTTCTTAAATTTACTCATGAGCTGGTTTACACTCATGTAAGTTGGGTTTTCATTATTTTAAGTCATAAGCTGATTCCATAACTCAGTCTACACATTAAAAAACTCACAAGGAAGGTGATTTGACTGAGGGTCTTTTTAAGTAAGTATACTTTGAATTTATTATGGGGAGGGAACAAGAGTTATTAGATCTCAGGATTTTCTTTTCCTGTGCAGTACAGTGGGTGATACAGGATTCAAATTAATGTAAATAAGTTCATTTCTTGCTCCCAGAGTAACTTGCAGTGCCCATAATGAGCACCATGCTTTTGGATGCCTGCATTAATCCATTCCTATATTCCCTTATACCAGAATAAGTAGCTTATTAGGGAAGAGGCAGCTTAAGGATGAAAGGTTAGAGAGATTTTCTGGAGTAAGAACAAAGCTTGTTCCTGGAGAACAATTGTACATACAGTAGTTAGAGATGATTACTTTAGTAAAGCAAAAGAGACTTATATATATATATATTCACCCTTTTTCTTGTGGTTAGGTATGTGTGTTGTATAGTGAAACTCATCTTCAAGTTGTACCATTTTTTCTGTGGAACTAATAATGCTATTACTACTAGACATGCATTGTAGCATTTGTTTACATTGATTTCTGAACAGGCTGGAACTTTTAGTTATGAGTTTATTATCCTTATTTCCAGATACCAACTGCTCCACCAAGTTACACTGGAAGACACCTCTGGTGAAAGGCTAGAGGTTCTAAAGATAAGAATCTTTGTTTAAAATGTTATTCCCTGGCAGTGTGTCTTTTTAAGGGAGGAATCAATAATGCTACAACAAAACAGCCAGACATCCAGGAGCTTTGGAATCCAAGATAGGGTTTTATGTAAACGTGAACACTGTTGAACTGATGAGCTAATCACAGAAACAAAACTGCACAATTCAAGATGAATTTAAAATAGAAATAGGCACACTTTGAAATGGAAGAGAGGACATCACACATTCTTAAATGTGAGATATAACCTGTCTGTAACTCAGTGTGTGAGGCAAGCCTGACCTTGGTTTGTTGTCAGCTCTTTGCAAAAAACAAATATCCCTCTCCCCGCATCCGCCTCATGAAACTTTCCCTTACCTAACGTAATCCATGCTGCCATAAGAGATTGCCACTGCAGTGTGAAAAGTATGCAGGGTTTCTTCCTGCTTTTTTTCCCCCCTCTTCATTTCAGGTGTTGTGTGAAGTGTCTTGGTTGTTCTGTTATCCATCTCTGATGTGAATGTCATCTAGGGTCAAGCATAGTCAGTCTGTGGCAACTAAATTACCATTATTCAGCAATGAGATGTGATCCACTTAAAGAAAAAAGTATCAAGTTTGGTTGTGGTGAAAGGAAATGACTGTGCATGCTTCATGCAACTTTGTGAAGCATCCCTAGGGTAAGAGTTTAGAGTCAGATCACCTCAGTAATGTAGAATCAGCCACTGCAGTTCAAGGTGCCCTGTTGATACAGTCTCACTCCAGAGTTCAAGCAAAGAACCACAAGTTTTCAAACCCCTTATATTGTTTTACATATGTGCACTTGTGGGCACCAAGTCAAATTATGGAGAGACAAACTTCAGCAAAGCCTCTTAACTGAGAAGAGAATGTGGCCCGGGGTTGCCAAAAGATGTTCTATAGATAGGATGATACATTAAAGGAAACCTACTGTATTACACACAACTTTAGGTTTGTTCTGATGGCTGATCTTATAAGGTGCCTAGGGAAGGGGAAGGTAATGATCACCTTCCAGGAGGTGCTTGGTAATTTAAGGATTGGGCCCTCACTTCCTACTTTTGGACCTAATTCTGTAACCCCTGCTCATGGGAATAGCCTCATTGACTGCAATAGTCTGTGCATCTTAATGTGTATATGTATTAGCTAGTAGAATCTCCACTGTTGAGGTTCAGGATTTTGTGTGGGTGTGTGTGTGGGTGTGGGTGTGTGTTTTGGAGTTGGGATAAGACAGACAACTCTTTACCAAGGCTTATCTAGGTTATGTAACAAGTTCTTACTGCCCATTATTCTTGCCATGGTTTTTGTTACTTTAAAGCAAATCATTCCTTTATTATTTAGCATTTAATACATATCAAACATTGAAAGTCACTGTATCCTGTTTGGTCAACATTACTCCTAGCTTTCCTAGACACTAAAAGCAATTCTTTTTACATGAGGGTGTGGGTTATGTATAAGGGTAACATTTTGCATATGCTGTAATAAATATATATATATTCTATTTTCAAATAAAAATAAAAATATACAAAGAAAATTGAATAGCGCAGTAGTTTCACAGAAGAACACTATTTGCTGCATACTGCAAAAAAAAAAAAAAAAGATAAGCTGTTTATTTTTAGAAGATTCCCTGTTTCTTCATGTACCTCATTTCTGCACTAAATGGACCTAATCCTGTAGTCTTGTACTCAATATGAGTAGACCCAATTAACATCAAAAGGTCTATTCACAGGTGTAAGTGCTGCAGCATCAGGCTCTAAGCATTACATCCAAGATATATATTGCCATTCTTGCCATGATCACCTTATAGGGTTTTATTTTTAACAGCCCTACTGGTTCAGAAACCATACTTTTCCATCATGCATGATTGAAGGAATATATTAGTTCCATGCCTGATGTTCCCCATAGAAACAAAATGGAAGCATGTGCTTGCTTTTAAGGGAAAAAAGTGGTTTTTAATCTCTTGTTTAGGTAACTAGATTGTCTAAGAGACCGAGTAGGCTAGGGGTGGAATTTGCATGCTATCCAGTGATCTAGAAGTACCTCTAGCTGTTAGTCTTGATCAGATAAAATGATATTTTTGATAATTAATTGTTACTATCCCAGAAACTGCATAATTTGGAGCAATATAAAACCTAGTGGTGATGTGTGTCTTCAAAAGTTTCATTTAAAAAATAAATTTTTAATATGTAAAATTATCTGAAAGGTATTTATTGTAAAAATATATAAGATGACCATGGCATAAATGGGAGGGCAGCTTTCTCTTAAAGATCTATCATGCTTCATGCTATAGCTGAAACATACCATACACATTTTGTAGACCTTGGACAATTTTTTTCCAGGCTAGTTATTTTACAAATGTTTACATTATGTTCAGTTTTCTAGATGGGAATGGATTAACAAATTAAGGGCCCAGTCCTCCTCTGAAGGAAGCCAGCAGGTGTTTGAGGCCCAAAGCAAAGGGCCATATCCTGCATATCTTTGCGTACACAATTTGTCCCATTGAACTGGTATGTGAATTAAGACTATTCACATTAGTAACAACATGCAGGATTGGGTCTGCAATTTGTGTTGGTGGAAGTGTGTTAATTAATTAGAAGAAGGAGTTTATTCATTTTCCAACTTTACACAACTAGAATAAGCAACTTATTTTTGCCATTTGATAGTCTAATGCCAAATGCTACAAATAATGTGTGACTGAAGGCACCTTTCTGTTAATTTATTTTTATTAATGTAAACAAGTTGTTTACTTCTGCCTTTTAGAATGTAGAGCATCTGTGATCAAAATACTACATAACTGTAAACACAAACCTTTCAGGATTGTTGTTATAATTATCTTTATACTATAAAAGCTACCATGTTGTCCCTTTTTACATTTGACAATGGTTATTTCCTTCTGGCCTATCTATTAAAAAACATTTTTTAAAGAAGTGGCTTCTATTCAATGGCTAGAAAACAGCTCAGAGCTATACATTAAGGACCCAATCCCAATTGCAGTGGGAGTTGAGGGTGCTTACAGCCTCCCAGGAAATGTATATAGCACCTTGTAGAATGGAGTGCTAAGTGCACATAGTTGTTTCTATGAATAAGAAAGATTTCAGCTGTTGCAGAACTAGCTAGTTTGTATGTACTCTGACAGGTATCATGGTTGGCTATGCCTTGGGTCTAACCAAAGGCTGTGCAAAAGGGAGCACTGTAGCTTTTATAATTAAACAATTGGACTATTCTACCAGCTCACAAGAATACACAGCAGGTGCTTTTTATTAATTGAGGAGCGCTAAGGCTCATTTTTGATAGATAATATATATTTATTAAATGTATTAATGTGTGTTTTATAATGTACCTTTTTTTCCGCTGGTTGTTGCATACTGATATCTTAAGTACACCTCTGAAGGACTTTCAAGACAATCAATGTGTACCATAATGACTGTATATAAGTATAATAAATTGAAAAGGTTGTAAAGCATGGGCAAATGTTTTATTTTCAAAATGCTGTTCTTAACAAAAATAAAGGCATTACTATTTACTTACAACATTTGTGATTTACCTTAATCTTTAAATATCCTATTGTCTATTGATATTATAGGCAGAACTAGTCTGTGTGAAGTATAGGCAAAATGGTACCACGATTAGTTTTGATTGTGCATCTTATCTGGCCTCATTTAAGTCAATGAGATTTTTGTCAGATCCAAACAGCTGTGTGAGGCAAACTGTGAGGCCTTTACTCAGAGCCTGCATGCCCACTGTCTTGCACCTTCTGTAGTTATCTATACTTATGCAAAATGGGTTTAAAGTGCTGCCATTTTGCTCTAGTTGTGTAACATACTCTCTTGGCCCAGACATGACAACACGAGGTCCTCAAACTGCCTTCAGGAGTACTGAGCAATCTCAGCTTTCACTGAAGTTGTGGATGCACAGCATATCGGACAACGAAGATCCACTGAAGCCAAGGATGCTATGCATATTTACAGCAGCTGAGAATCTGCCCCTTCATTTTACTCCTAGATCTTGTATGGGCAAAACTACCATTTATTGCAATGGGAATGTTCTGTTTAGCCAAAAACTTCTGAGCATTCAGAACTGAATGCAAAGCCTTTGGTCAAACTCAGCTCCTGTTTATAAGTGGGCATAATTCCACTGACCTCAGAATAGCGTTCATTTATGCTAGGGATAAATGTTTGCCTGCAGTGTACAGAATGACTGCAAAACCAGGTCCTCATGTATACCCATCTTGATGTACAACTCTTCACATATTAAAACAAGCATGTAACTTTAGAAGCATATCCAAACCAGGTAACATACAAGAAACTTCACTCCATGAGCTCTGTATTTTGCGGTGCTGGCGAAAGAAACAAAATCGAAACTCCAGAACAATGTGGTGTAGGTTCTTCTGACTCTAATTTGCTTCCCACTGCAACCATATAAAAGCAAAATATTAAATGTTTAACTTTCTGCAATACACAGGCACTGAAATAGTTTCTATTGTAAACACACTGCCTGCCTCATAAATGAGTAACCAAACAGTAATTATTGTTAGAAATGCGTAGCATCTTTTTCCCTGAAAAAAGTTCTGTCCACAGATCCTCAAACTAGGGTGGGGAACCGTTTTTGGGTCAAGGGCCTCACTGATGTGGCTCCTTACTGGCCATGCCTACACTACAGATAAGATTGAAGCAGGCACAGTCAATCTTCCAGGGTTCAAATTAGCAGGTCTAGTGAAGACACCATAATTTTAACTGAGAGGGCGCTCCTATCGATGCCTGTAGTCCTGCTTCAAGGAGTAAGGGAAGCCAAAAGGATACTGCTCGCTTTGACTTCTCGCAGTGTGGGCGGTGCCAAAATTCAAGTTAATGTACTTTAAACTACACAATTAACATAGATGAAGTTGCATATCTTAATTCAGACTTCTCCCCTTGTGTAGGCTGGGGCCTAGAGAGGGAGAAAGGCATTCCTCACATTCCCCTTGCACACCAAAGCCCAGAGGGACCCAGACTAGTAGATTTTGGGTACATCTACACTGCGGGGTTTTCCAGGATAAAAACTTCGCCATGTCCAGGGAACACGTTTGCTCTTCCACTTTTTTTTTGCAGAAGAGCAAGCGCGCTCTTGCGGGGAGCCCTGTATACATCGTTCTACAAGGAATAAGGGCTCCTCTGAAAGAGGAGGCTTTTCTGCCATCTAGATGGGGCCAAATGGGGAAAAGCCTCTTCCAGAAAAACAATCGGAAAAAGCGATAGTGTAGACCTAGCCTTTGTGTGCTCCAGACTTGCGGTGGCTATGGGGGGGGGGGGGGGGGGTGCCCTAACGGGAGCCCTGAGACTTGGGGGCTGGATCCTGGCAAAACTGGGGGGCAGCATCTGGCCCCCAGATCTTAGGTTCCCCTCCCCTGTCATAAACAATCCCCACTGACATTCATTGGCACTATGCCTATGTAATTGAAGGCAGAATTTATTTCCTAATTAGAAGTCCTCAGACTTGGTCACTGGGGATGGGGAATCAGATAAAGGTGAAAGCAGTTCTTTGAGGACATCTACACTGCAGTTACAACCTGTGGCTAACTAGTGCCAGCTAAATCTCAAGACTTTTTAACTGAGGCACAGACATTTGGGCTCAGATTGCCTCCTGGGCTCTAGGGGCCCTTCCAGGTGGGTGGGTCCCAGAGCTCACCTCAGCAAAAACTTCTAAATTAAACAGCCCTTAACCTGTGAGGCCAGTTCAGCTGGGACGCACAGTGTAGAAATATGCTGAAGTTTCTTGACTTTGAAGAATTTTTAAATCTATACTAGTGACAGATCAAACCTTGCACCAAATTTATCTGTTGTTTTCAATCACCAGAGACAACAGCAAGGTCAATAAAGAATAGTTTTCTCTGTATCACAGTGCAAACAAGAATGTGATCCATGTGATCTAGAAGGGCCTGCCAAACTTGTGGGGGGGGGCGGGGGAATCAGCCAAACAAAGAGCACAGGGTTGCTTGCTGTAGTAAACAATTCTCAGTGAATAACTCCCCGCCTTCCACCCCCATAGTATTGTAGAAAGCTCTACCCTCTAGTGAAAGCTCCTTTCAAAGCTCTAAGTGGTATAATGGCAGATTATTGCTTGTCTCAATGGGGAAACATGCAATCAGGGAAGTTCTCTGCTATCCCATGTTCTATATTGTGCTGTTCTTAAAGAAAACTTAATAGACATTTTATGTAATATTTTTGTATATTATCCAGTGCATGCACTTCAGTAGGGCGCTACAGAGTCCAGCTCTTCCAGCTAGAGATCAAACAGATAAGTTGGGAAGCTTGTATGCAGGAAAGGAAATGTAACTGTTAACTTTCAGGAAGGTTCAGGTCCAGGATAGCTTCATTAACCTGTCAGAAGTGCAATTTAAAAAAACCCTTTTACAGTTACAGATAGTTCTGGACATAATGGGTCCGTGTTCTTATTTAAACTATTCAACCAAGTTTCCCCAGCCTGAAAGATCTCAGCTTATGCAGGCCCAGCTCGAGCCATTCCTGTTCCCCGGGAAGTGGGCACACAACACATGCGCAGCTCTGCCCCGGGTGCACGGCACAAGCGCGACCCTGCCCCCCGGTGCATTGCGCACCTTACAGCTGCAATTGAGTGCGCGGCGCCTGATGGCAGCTCTAAGAGGCACCACACCTGATTGCAGCTCTAAAGGGCACTGCGCGGCCGGTTAGCCTCTCCCCTGAGTTTATGGGCAAACATACCAAAACACTTTTGGAGGTGGGGAAATTCCACATTTGGTAACATTTAAAATTAAGTTTTCTAATAAATCCAAATATGGCTGAAATTGCAAGGTACACCCCAGACCCCACAGCGGAAAAGGCAATGTAGGTACATATGCAATGCGTAGTTGGTACAAAACCTTTTTTTGATATGTCACTTGGCTTACTGGATGCTAAAACATTGTTTAAAATGTATTCCAAGTTACTATGATGAATGTAACCATTATCCATTGGAATATTTGCTAATGGACAGCTATTTTGTTTAATATTCCCAGAATACTACGGGGTTACTCCAGGGTGGGCAAAAGGGCCTCTGGAAGCCGGATCCACCCCCAGGCTCTGCCACTCCCCCGTCCCCAGGCCAATCAGGGGCCGGGGGAAGTGCATGAAGTTTGCTTGCTCCCCCACCGCCTGACCAATCATGGTCTGTGGGTGGGGAAGCAGGGAAGTGCACTGGCCCTGCCTCTTCCGCCTGAGGCCCCACCCCTTTCAGTGTGGCCCAGGGCCACTTAAAAAATTTCTGAAGTGGCCCCTGGTAAAAATATTATTGCCCACCCGTGGGTTACTCATTGGGTGCGTCCAGCTGTCTACACTGGCTGCTTGAATTTGCGCAAGAACACTGACTTTGTAATGTACAAAATCAGTGCTTCTTGCGCAAATACTTTCACGCTCCTGCTCGGGAAAAAGCCCTCTTGCACAAGAATACTTGCTCAAGAGGGCCAGTGTAGACAGGGAAGAACTGTTTTGAGCAAAAAAGCCCCGATGGCTAAAATGGCGATCGGGGCTTTCTTGCGCAAAATCGTGTCTAGACTGGTCACAGATGCTTTTGCGCAAAAGCACTTTTTGCGCAAAAGCATCCTTGCCAATCTAGATGCGCTTTTGAGGAAATACTTTTAATGGAAAAACTTTTTTGTTAAAAGTATTTCTGCAAAATCATGCGAGTCTAGACGCAGCCTTTAAGTATTTCCTAAGACTCTGAATCTAACACATATTGTTCAACATTAAAATGAAAAAGGCTGGGTTAGGTATTTTGGAGGTGCCCAGTAGTAGTGCTATTAGTCAGAGGCTTCAGTGTTCTATCACAGACCATGTTATTTAGACATGGCATTTTCAAAGCTCATCACACTAAACCACGAAGCACAGGATGTCAGCCTGAATTTGGATTTCAAAGAATTATTTCAATAGCTTCAGACATTCTCTTGCTTCTCAGATGCGTGAAAAAAATAAGCTTTCCGTGAATTTCAGATGTATGGGAATATAGGGGAAAATCCCTTTTGTTAAGCCTCTTCACTGGAAACTTAAGTTTGGAAAAATATATTTTTCAGGCAGTTAGTCCTCAAGCTGCACTTACTGCAATTAAATTGAAAATACTAGGCCAGATCTGTGGTTGGTGTAAATCGCCATAGTGCTCTTGAAGAATCTATGGAGTGGAGCAACAACAATTTACACTAGCTGAGGCTCTAGCCCCTACTTCCCAGACAACCAAGATTGCAATTCTATTGTGTTGAAGAGAGCAGACTTCTCACTGGAGTGGGTTTTTTGGGAATCATTGCGGGAGGGGAGGAATGAGGAAGGAGAATGTAGAAAACACAGTTGAAAAATTAAATATATACTGCAAAAGTCAAAGCAAACCTTGTGGGATGGCCAGATTCTACTCTAACACAACTCCAAAAAGCTTCAGTGCCATAGGAGGCATGAAAGTCAGCCTCAGAAATGTACAACAGCTAATTTAAGATACTTTGTTAAACCAACACTCCTGAAATCTTACTTCTGTGCAATGTTGCCAACTCATGGTTTTTATCCTGTGAATCATGATATTTAGTGCTCTTGTGTTAAACATCAGCTCCTAGAGAAAGGGATCATCTTTTTTGTTCCGTGCTTGTTTCTGATGGTTTCCTAGTCCCTGACTAGAGCTCCTAGGGATTTCCATAATCAAATAATAATGAGAATCTTATGTTCTTTTTTTTTTAAAGTAAGTTTCTTGTCTTGCTGGTTGAAAAGGAGAGCTTGAAAATGTGCCATGAATGTAATCAAAAGGCTCAGACTCCAGAGAACAAAATCTCAAATCATCATTAAGACAATCTCAAATTTTAACGGCTTGACCCATGATTTTTGAGTGTTTGGGGTTGGTAGCGCTTGTATAATACTTCATTGTTTACTCCCATGTTTTCAAGGTATCATATCTTTGATGTTTCAAAATCACATTTTTATCTCTCTATTTATAAAAACAAGTTTTTTCTGCCGCGTGGACAGAATGATGTCATCAGGCTCTCTGGTCATGAAAGCAGCCAAAGAGCAGGGAGTTGGTGGCTGTAGTGAGCAGGGAGCAGCCCCCTAGTACAGTTTTAAATTGTTAACCCATTGTTATCCCATTTTAAAGTGTCAATACTGTAATTCTATCATTTTACTGATTAATAAAGGCTCATCTTTTAAAATATACATCAGAACCTCTTTAATCTTCACAGTGAAAATGCATTTTGTAATTCACAAAATCCTGCTCTTCTGGTAATGGAAGTCAATGGGAATTCTGCAGTTGACCTGGATGGGAGCAGAAGCCTGTCTTGAAAGAGCAGGTAAGGCAGTATTTGTGTGGTGCTATTTCTATTACATAAAAAACATGGTTATGTATCAGTACAAGTGCTGGTATGTGTTCAGAATTGTGGGTCATTTTATA